CCTGACATGTGTGACTGTCCCGGGGGGCGGGGGGAAGGAAGAAGAAACAGAGAAGAATGGAAACGGAGAGGGATGGCTTTTGTCATTATGTCACCTGCAGACCTGAGTTCAAACTCCAGGTCTCTTTGACTTAGTGCTGTGCTGAGGACTGAACTTGGAGCTTGCACCTGCCAGGCTAGTGCTTCACTGCCGGGTGCCCCCTCTGGCTTCTTTTCTACTCACTATTCTGAATTCTGGGCTCCGCAGGGAAAGGAGCTATTTGCTTTGATCCTGGTTCTCAGCTTCTGATAGGTGTTGTGGGTTGATAACATGATTCCTTTTTTGGTTTGTTTCTTTGTTGGTTTGGGGGCCACACCCAGCGGTGCTCAGGTTTTACTCCTGGCTTGGTGCTTGGGGATCACTCTAGCTGGCTCAGGGGGCCACAGGGGTCCTGAGGATTGAACCCAGATTGGCTGCATGCAAGACAAATGCCCTACCCGCTATACCATGGCCCTGGCCCCCAGACTGAGTGATTCCTTAAATGTGCTTCCACTTCTCGGGCTCACAATGTTCTCTCCACCTGCCCTGCCTCTTCCTGTTGCTCAGGACATTCTAGAAGTAACAAGCCCCAGCCTCTGACCCACTGGCATGATGTGTGTCTGGAATTTTTGCAGTCCTCACTAATATTTTATTTCTGTTTATTTGTGGGCGACACACTTTTTTTGGGGGGTGAACTACTCTGGTATATTGCTCAGAGGTTGGGGGTCCATGTGATAAAAAAGCTTGTGCTCCAGCCCATTGCTAATATCCCAAACGTATTTTTGTTGTTATTGTTGTTTTTTTGTTTTTAGGTCACCTGGTGATGCTCAGGACTTACTCCCAGCTCTCTGCTCAGGAATCAATCCTGGTAGGACTTGGGGACCCGTGTGATGACAAGGATTCAACCTGGGTCAGCTGTCTTACATGCTGTACTATCTATCTGGAGTACAGAAAATCAGTAACCCAAATAGTTTTCATTCATTATTAATATGTGGGTCACCCAAGCAGTGCTCAAGAGACCTGGGTTTCCCTTCCAGTGATTCTCGGCCAAGTGGGTTCAATGCTAGGGCCTGAGATGCAGAGATGCTCAGGGCCTTCAGGGTCATTACTGACAATGGTCAGGGGCCTCCAGGGCTGTGACCTGGTGATTTTGGGGGGAGCATGAGGTACCAGAGGTTCAAGTGGGGTTAGCCACATACAAGGCACACATCTTAACCCCTGTACTATATCTATACTCCCTCTTTTTTCTGGGAGGTAGGGAGATGTCACAGCAGTGGTACTCAGGGCTGACTCCTGGCTCTAGGTATCACACCTGGTGGAGCTCAGAGAACCATATGGGATGCTAGGGATCGAACCCATTTTGGCCCCAAGCAAGGTGAGTGCCCTATCCACTCTACTATCGCTCCAGCCCCATACTGTCCTAATTTTCATTTTTGGGCCACACCTACCTCTTCCTGGCCGTGCTGTGGGGATTGTGTGGTGCTAGAGATTGAACTGAGGGCCTCACAGACAAGGGAAGTGGTCTGCGACTGGGCCAGGCTCCTGGCTCCAGTCAATCTTATTTATCTACTTATTCATTATTTTGGTCTTGTCACAACACCTGGAGGTACTCCCAGCTCCCTTGTGTTTGGGGGTTCACGGACAGTGGTGTTCAGGGAATGGGTCTCTTACATGCCAACCTTGCGGGCTAACCATCTGAGCTACTTCTCTCAAGCCTCAATAAGTGTCTTTTAAAGGAAATGAGGGTCGAGAAGATGAGAAGGAAGCCAGGAAGATAAAAGAGAAAGGAAGAAATGGAAGGATCCAGCACTGTAATCCTTGGCATCCCATATGGTCCACTGAGCCTGCCAGGAGTGATCCCTGGATCCCTGTGTGCAGTCAGGAGTAAGCCCTAAGCACCTCCGGGTGTGGTCCTCCCAAAAGAGGGGGAGGAAGAGAGAGAGAGAAAGAGAAAGGAAAGGGGGAGAGAGAGAAGGAGAGAGGGAGAGAGAGAGAGGAAGGGAGAGAGAGAGAAAGAGAGAGAGAGAAAGGAAAGGGGGAGAGAGAGAAGGAGAGAGGGAGAGAGAGAGGGAGGGAGGAAGGGAGAGAGAGAGAGAAAGAAAGGAAAGGGGGAGAGAGAGAAGGAGAGAGGGAGAGAGGGAAGGAGAGAGGGAGAGGGAAGGAGAGAGGGAGAGAGAGAAGGAGAGAGGGAGAGAGAGAGGGAGGGAGGGAGAGAGAGAGAAAGGAAAGGGGGAGAGAGAGGAGAGAGGGAGAGAGAGAGGGAGGGAGGGAGAGAGAGACAGAGTTATTTTTAATTGTCGAGTAAATGGATCCCTAAAGCCTGCAAGAGGCCTTACAAAAGGCAGGGAAAGACCCAGGGAGTCCCAGGCTTATAGCTGTCAAATTAACCTCGGAGATTGAGTCATCACACCATGCAGAAGGCTCTCCTGTCTACATGTGTGACAGAATCATGGACAAGGTAGGAACTGGAACTCTCCGGCCTGACTCCTGGTCACACTGTTCAAGCTCTGCGTTGCCTGGGAACAGAGCTGTCCTCCAAGTCCCACAGCCTGCCCCATCTTTGGCGATGCTCTCTCAGTCCCTGCATTGTTTTTTCCATATTCATCTGCTATTATTTTCTGGTGAACCTACCAATCACCAGGGAAGGCTCACCTCTACCCAGTCTGGTCAATGCTGGCCTCCCATCTCCCAAACAGAGCTAATTGATCAAGGAGCAGGCATGCGACTTGTGAGGGCTGATCCCAACCCTTCACAGGAGATGAGCTGGACTTGGAAGAAAGCAGCTCTCTGGGGTTTCTGAACTGCTTCTGCCATGTTCCCCACCCAGAAGAGAATCGGAGATGAGAGGTACACAAGGGCCGTGTCGGTGGGGTTGAGATTGAGACCTTCCTTGGTTCCATCCCAGTGCACGCCCTGGTTGCTGCACTTTCTTAGTGGTATCCTTCCTGGAGACTGAAAATAATCCATTTCTTTTTCTGGGGGGTGGTGTGGGGTATGTGTGCGTGTGGGGGAGCACACCTGCTCAGAGCTTACTCCTAGGCTCTGGGTACCATATGGGGTACTGAAGATCCACTCTGGGTTGGCCACATTCCAGGCAACAGCCCTACTTGCTGTACTATCACTATGGCGATTGCTTCTTGATTGTTAATTGTGGTTGCTCGCAATGGCCAGATCTTAACAATGGAGCGGTCAAGATTTTTTTTCTCTCCAAAATTTCAGTGATTTCCCAAAAAGTAGGAGTACTGTTTCCAGGGCAGGAGGCCCTTTTTCTGCAGAACAGCAGTATGCTTAGGCTGAGCAAGGCTTGCATGAAGTTTGGGGATGAAAGCAACTTCCTCTTCCTGAAGTCCCGCTGGCCCCCACACACACTTCTCCAGGTGAGAGTGGGGGAGGAGTGCGGCCAAGAGAAGCTGACATTCTGGGGCCTGGAGAGACAGTAAGGAGGTTAACGAACTTGCCTTGCATGCAGCTAATCCTGCTTCAACTCCCAGTACTGCATGTAGTCCCCTGAGCACAGAGCCAGGAGTAGCACTGAGTGTGGCCCAAAATCCTGAAGTCTAAAGTCCTCACTTTATAGTAAACTCTTTTTGACAAACATCCTCTCCCTACACTACAGCTTTCCCATTTGGGACTGCCTAGGAGAGTTTTGTGATGGCATCCAAGTGGGGAGGCCTTGGAATTCAAGCCCAGGTGACTAGGAGAGGAAAGGACTCAGTTTTTGATTTGGGTGCCATACTTAGTTGTACTCAAGGGTTACTCCCAGCTCTGATGGATGCAGAGATTGAACCTCATGGGGGTTCATGCAGGGTAAGCACCTTAACCCCTATACTGTCTCTCTTGCTGGCCCCTATGTGAGGGCTGTTGAGTCAATTTAATTAGATCTAAGGACAGAAGGTGGAGTTGGCCTCTGGGTTATTAGTTTTCCAATGTTGGGCAAGGTTTATTCAAGTGAAGCTGGGGCGTAGAGAACAGGCCTTCTGTGGGAGTACCACAGTTTTAGGCAGGCTTCTGTCATCCTCCCCCGGCCCAGCAAAAGATGGACGTGAGGGCGTTAAGTCTGAGGATACTGAGGAGTTTGACAGAATCTATCATTTGAAGGACTCTAGGCAGGTCTGTCAATTCAGTTTCTTTACCTAAAAACAGGAACAAGATGCTAGAGAGTTGTTTATTTTTATTTTGGTTTTGGTTATCTTGCTTTTTGGGCTGCACGGGGCTGTGCTTAGGTCTTACTGTTGGTTCTGTGTTCAGGAATCAGTTCTGACAGGCTCAGGGGACCGTATGGCGTGCCAGCCACCAAGAAAAACCAGAATTTTTGATGGACTCCCTCCTATTTTTTTTTGGTGGGGGATGGCCTACTTAATCCTCATATAGGCCCAAGTTCAGGATGGACAGGGCAACCTTAACCTCCTCAAGAGAGTCAGAAGTGCCCGAATTAAAAATAGCAAACGAGGTGGTCCAAGTTAATTCCATTTTAGAATTAAACGGGCCTGGTGTAGTGGCCACTCTTTCCTTCCTAGGTTGATCGTCCACCCTCTGGTTCGGAGCTTCTCTGGGTCCTGAAGAGTAGCGCAGAGTAGAGGAATTTAGGCGGGAGAATCGGAGGGAGAATGGGAGGAGGGATGGGTTGACAGGGAAAGGCTGGCCAGGAAGGGTGGTGACAAACCGGAAATGGGGATGGGAGAGCAGGATGCGGGGGCGGCAGGGCGGCGGGGCTGGGACCCGGGGAGGAGGCCTGAAGGGGAAAGTGCTATGGGGGGGGGGCGGGGGCGGGGCTGTCTGTGGGCCGATCCGCGGGATAGACACACACGGCCAGCCGGAGTGAAAAGAACAATTTATCCCGTGCTTTATTAAAACGTGCATCATTCTTTTATTTTAAAATGTGCATCATTGTCTCGTGCTCGGCGCGCGCGACCTCAGCGTGGTGGCCCGCGTGGGCCTCGCCCACGCCCGGCTCCCGCGGGGCCGCCGCCGTCCGCAGGCGCTCAGGTGGCGCGGGCCCGGGGGCTCCCGCCCATGGCCAGGTAGACGTCGATGGGCACGTGCAGCAGCGTCAGGCAGTGGCAGCCGGGGCAGCGGCGGAGCGGCCTGGGGGAGCGGGGCGCGGCGTCAGGGGCGGCCCGGGGCGCCCGCCGAGCGTCCCCCGGCCCCGGCCTCACCTGACCGGGGTGTGCTCCGTAGCTACGGGCTCCGGGCTGTCCTGGGATTCTGGGGCGGCGGCAAGGCCAGGGGAGTCTCCCGCCTCAATGGGGAATCTGCGACCCTGCGGGGGCTCCTGCGCGCTCATGTCCAGGCCCCGGGGCGCTCTGCGCGGGGAGTGGCGGTCGGGCCGCCCCCGGGACGCCGGGCGCCCCCTCCCCGCGCCCGCCGCTGGGGCCGTCTCACCGAAGGGAGGCCGAGGCCGCTCCCGGGCTGGAAGCAGCTGCCCGAGCCCTGGCGGCGCGCGGACGCTCCGGTCCAGGCGGGGCCGGGCAGGTGTCTGCGGCGCGCCCGGGCCCGGCCGTCGAGGGGGAGCGCGGCATTGTGACCGGCTCGGGGCGCGCTGACCTCACAGAGCCCCGTTCCTCCCGCCCGGCACCCGCCCGTGCACTTGGCGCCGCGCCGGCCCGGGCCGCAGGGCCCCGGCCAGGGCTGCGAGCCGCTCCCCGCGCGGACCCCCGCGGCCGCCCGACGGGGCGCGGGCACGCGGGCCGCCCGGCTGCGCGGCGCCGTCCGGCAAGAAGGGACCCGCTCGCGCCGGCCCCACTCCCCAGCGCGCGGGGGACCGGCGCTGGGTTTGGTGCGGCCGCTGGCGGGAGCAGGTAGGGGCACGGCCCATTTTGGCCAAGGGTCACACAGCATTTACATCATAATTGGGTAGTTTAAAAATGTCTGGCCCTCTCCCTCCCCTCCACCCGCGGCTGCTGTGTGGAGACGGAGAATGTTCTAGCGCTGGGGGCGGCTGCGGATGAAGTCCTTGGGGGGAAAAGGAGCAGGCCAAGGGCGATGGTGGAGTAGAGCTGCCTCGCAGAGGCAGCATGAGCTGAGAGGGTGACGGGAAGGAAGGAGGCGCTGGACAGCATGGAGGACTTTCTTCTCTCCAATGGGTACCAGCTGGGCAAGACCATTGGGGAAGGGACCTACTCAAAAGTCAAAGAAGCATTTTCCAAAAAACACCAAAGAAAAGTGGCAATTAAAATTATAGACAAGATGGGAGGGCCAGAAGGTGAGCTGGGTTCTCTGCGGAGGGAGGGTGGGCTGGGGTGCTGGTGGTGGTGCCTCTAGAGAAGGGTCCTTCTCGCTCTCTCCCCTTTAATCTGAAGCCACAGAGGAGGCCAGGTTTCAGCTCTGGGGTAGGCCAAGTGGGGAACAGGAGGCTGGGAGTCCACCTTCCTTCGGACCCCTGGGATTAGAAGTGCCGGGGCTGGGGCAGAGGCAGTACAGCAGGTAGAGCACTTTCGTTGCACATGGCCAACCCAGGTTCCATCCCCAGCCTCCTGAAAGGTCCCCAGGAGTAATTCCTGAGCACAGAGCCAGGAATAAGCCCTGAGCATTGCCAGGTGTGGCCCAAAAACAAAAGAAAAAAAGTGTCAGAGGGGCTGGAGCCTTGAAGGCGCAGAGGTAGAATGCTGGGCTGGAGCGATAGTACAGTGGGTAGAGAGCTCGCCTTGCATGCGGACGACGTGGGTTTGGTCCCTGGCATCTCATATGGCTCCCCAAGCCCTGCCAGGAGTGATCCCTGAGCACAAAGTCAGGAGTAAGCCCTGAGCACCGCTGGGTGTGGCCCAAAACAAAAATTAGAGGTAGAATGCTTCCCTTGCATGTTTGGATCTGAATTCCTTTAAGAGGCCTTTTCTATTCCAGAGGTCAGGGCCAAGGCTAGCAGAGCAGGGGACAGGAGCTGTGTCAAAGCAGTTAAATGGAAAAAAAAATAAGGCTCAAGAAAAGAAGTGTGGGTCAAGAGGAGGGGTGGAAGGGGTTGGCTCACCTCACTAGTGATCATGCCTCCTGACGTGAGTCAATGGCATTGTCTGAAAGTCCCCAAAGCATTTTGATACCCATGATCTCACAGGCTGCTGACTGCGAGGTGAGCAGGGAGTAGTTCCTTTGAATAATGCATTAACTCCAGAAATAATAGAGATGAACATTTGCAAGGTGAATATCCCACCAGGTAGACATTTAAAAAGGGACCACGGCCCATAACCCAGACCAGGTGGGCAGAGAGGCAGGAGAGAAAGCAGGAGACAGGGCTGAGTAGATGATGTGCATCCTGGATTTGAAACCTCTCTTTCCCCTTATTTCCTCAGAGTTTATCCAGAGATTTCTGCCTCGGGAGCTCCAGATTGTTCGTACCCTGAACCACAAGAACATCATTCAGGTGTATGAGATGCTGGAATCTTCTGATGGGAAAATCTACCTGGTGATGGAGCTGGCGGAGGGAGGGGATGTCTTCGACTGCGTACTAAATGGAGGGCCGCTGCCTGAGAGCCGGGCCAAGGCCCTCTTCCGTCAGATGGTCGAGGCCATTCGCTACTGCCATGGCTGTGGCGTGGCCCACCGGGACCTCAAGTGCGAGAACGCCTTGTTGCAGGGCTTCAACCTGAAGCTGACCGATTTTGGCTTCGCCAAGGTGTTGCCCAAGTCACGCAGGGAGCTGAGCCAGACCTTCTGCGGCAGCACAGCCTATGCCGCGCCTGAGGTGCTGCAGGGGATTCCCCACGACAGCAAGAAGGGCGACGTCTGGAGCATGGGCGTGGTCCTATACGTCATGCTCTGCGCCAGCCTACCTTTTGACGACACAGACATCCCCAAGATGCTGTGGCAGCAGCAGAAGGGGGTGTCCTTCCCCACTCATCTGGGCATCTCGGCCGAATGCCAGGACCTGCTCAAGCGGCTCCTGGAACCAGACATGATCCTCCGGCCTTCAATTGAAGAAGTTAGTTGGCATCCATGGCTAGCAAGCACCTGATAAACGCAATGGCAATTCCTCCCCAATAAAGCAAGGGGAGAAAGCAAACTGAAACACTCGCTTCTAAAATGGTGATATATATTTTACACTTTTTAAACTTTTGGATAAGCTTACTTATCCAAAAGCTGATACATACCTTTCCTGGCCTCACTTCTCTTCCCTTAAAGAGCTCCGTGGAACCAGAGGGCCTCACTCAAGACTCCCCTTTGTGAGGGCTGGCAAGTGATTTCCAACGGGTGCTTAACCAGTTAACTAGAACTGGACCCCAGATTCAAACACACACAGGGGGAGGAGAGGCGAGGACAGGAGAAAACTGATACAGAGCAACTGGAACCACTTTTGTTGCAACTTCCTTTCCAAATAAAAGCAGAAGCCTCTTGACTCATTGTCTTGGTGAGAGGACTACCGAGGCCCTGTCCCTTCCTCGTCCCAAAGGATAAGCCACATAAGGTCAAGGGACTTCCTCAGCATCCAGGCTGCCCTTCCTGTTGCCACAGGTGTCAGCAGGACCTTCCCCCGCCCCCAGAGTAGCTGCTGCAGAGGGCACAGAACAGATCCCCACACACCTTCCAGCTTTTGTTGAATTTCTTTAATGCTGTTAACGGCAAATCTGGAAAAGGTTCAGGACAAAGTTTTTTTCTGATTACAAAACTAACAGCTGTTAGAATTTTTTTCTTTTTTTCTTTTTTCTTTTCCCGGCTACAAAATACTCTGGGGAGATGCATTATAATTTAAAATATATAATATTGCACAAACAACCAAAAGATTAAACTAAAGAAATAATTACAAAGAGGAAAAACCCATCCCATCCAAAGGAAAAAAAATTCAGCATTGTCTCCACCCCAGCCCTCACTGAAGGTTTGCCGTAGAAGTGACCGCATCTCCCGGCAGCCCTCACCTCAGCCCCTCTAACTCACGGCAGAACACACCAGACTATGTACAAGAATCACCAGAGCAGCAGCGGAAGCACCAGGGTCTCCAGGGACTCCTGCAGCCCCTCAGTCCCCCAGAGAGCTGCAACTTCACCACAGCTGGGGGTGCAAGAGCCACGGGCTGCTCTGTCTTCAGGAGGAAGAACTTCTGCAGACAAGCCTCAGGAAGCTCCCCAACTTCTGCTTCCCTTCAGGACGTAGAAAGGCTGGGGCGAAGAAGCTGGATTTACCAGAGCTGTAAGTACTCGGCTTTGATCACTGCTCTGTACCTGCGAGCTGGTTTGTGTCCTAAGCTACAGGGGAGTTGAGGTGGGTAGCTGGTTGGACAAAGAATCCCCCGGCAATGCACAGAAGGGCCTGAAGTGGCTTCCTCCCAGTGTGGGGAGAGAAAGAAATACAAGAGCAGGCTCTGGCAGGCGGCACAGCTGGGCTAAGGACTTGGGTGAGTTTGACATGAAGAAGCCCTAGGAAGTGTAGGGAACATACCAGCCTGGGCTGGAAGGGAGGAGGTGGGAACTCAAGGTTTGGTCTCTAGAGTCTGTATCACAAGGAACTTTTCCAGGAATGGAAAACAGCTGGGAGGAGAGGGGGAGATTCCCAGCACTGACGCCCTCACCCTCTTACTCCCCAGCAGGGATAAGGACAAGATGTGCTTGCCAGCCTTGCCTGGCCACGGGCAGATGACATGCTTTCCTTGTCTGCTTATGGACGGACAGTGTGTCGTCTTGGTTTTCTCCAGGACACTGGTGGTTGGGCTTCTGTCTACGCAGGCAGAGGGCTGGAGCTCTTCCTTTGGGACTTCCCAGCAAGAGCCCCAAGAATAGTGGGTGTTCAGCAGGCTCATCTGGTGAGGGGGCACGTTTCCTCCCCGTTGGTCATCTGATGGTTGGCACAAGTCAGAGTTTCTGGTCTGGATTTAGTGAGTCCCTTCACAGGTGCAAACAGAGGCCAGAAATTGTGACCAGCCGGAAGCAGCCCAGAATTGTGACTAGAGCTGTGGCTGAGAGCCATTTGGGGGACATTCTCAGTGTCTCTAGGGCTGGGCTGAGACGAGAGGGTGGCGGTAGGTGCTGTGGGCGGGGATGGGGAGCAGCTTGCCCCGGCTCCCCTCACTCCCAGTCCTCCCACTCTGCATCTTCCAGCTGCAAATGGAGAGCACAGACATTTACTCCTTGGGGTCAAGCTCACACCCAACTTCCCCTCACTGCTGCTACTGCCAGACAGCCCTCCCGCAGGCCCTACACCCAGGGCCTATCTCCCCAGTCCAAGTAAACCCCTGGGGTAGAGTTGCCTTCTGGCTGCAGGTGATCTGCCGCCCAACACTGAACCTGCGGGAATAGCTGGCCACAGGAAGCAAGGCAGTCCCTTTGGGAGAAACTGCGTCCTGCCAAGCAGATAAGAACATGGCCATGTGACTGCCAACAAGGGTCAACTGAACCACATGGGGCTCTGGCACCCCCAATGCCTCCCCCACCACACACACACACACACACACACACACACACACACACACACACACCGCACCCCTCCACCCTCCAGGTAACTTTTTCTAGGCCTGCTGACAGGACAGGTTGTAGAATGACTCGCTGGTATATAGCATGTCCTTTTTGTGTGTGATGCTGGGGTGACACTGGGGGTCTCATACGTGCCAGGCAAGTGCTCTACCACTGAAC